TGGAGGCAGGGAGGGAGGCAGGGAGGGGGGCAGGGAGGTGGGCAGGGGGGTGGGCAGGGAGATGGGCAGGGGTGCAGGCAGGGAGATGGGCAGGGGTGCAGGCAGGGGTACAGGCAGGGAGATGAGCAGGGTGCAGGCAGGGTGCAGGCAGGGAGGTGGCAGTGGCCGGACCATGCTGCCCACCCCAGCCCCCCCTGCCCCCCGTCTCAGCCGAGGTGCCCGCGGGGTGCGAGCCCCAGCAGCAGGAGGGGGGTGTTGAAAGCCCGTTTCCACTCCAGCGCACAGATGTTCCCAGCCCGTGCCAAGAGAGCGGGAGAGGCTTCAATAAAGCAAACATTGTCCTGTGGCAGAGCCCAGCGAGCCTGTACAAAGATTTATCTTTTTTTTTTTTTTTAATGATTACTGCCATTTGGCAGCATGAAAATGGGTTTCTGCAGGGCCCGAATCAGCTCAGCTCAGGTCTATTCAGGATATTTTCCTTGCGCTCGTCCAAATATCCAAGTGCCTCCCTGGGGTAGAGGCTCTTGCCCAGTCAGAGGAGACGTTTCTAACACCGTCCCGTCACCGGGTCTCTCTAATCAAACCCCAAGTGCCCGTGTTGTTCTATTCCTCCTGGCAGCCTGGTGTCCCAGGCACCGGGACAGTTCATGCTGGAACAACAAGGAATTTTCCATAATAACAAACAGGCATTTTTTTTTTTTTCCCTGCTCTCTTTGCTTTTGACATTTAGATTTTTTCCCCCACCCCAAATTTGCTCCTGGTACGTGGAAAACGGCAGCTTGAAAGGCAGAAGCTGGAGACAACCAGGAGCTCCCAAAAAAGGCATTTTCAGCGAGAAAGTGCTGACGCAACCCAGCGCTGCTGGCGCTGCAGCGCCGATAAATATTTGATTTCCCCCTGAATTAGGAAGGCGTCGTGTTGGGAACGGTCGGAAGAAGAGGGAAGACCACAAATAGGCTCTCGAGGAGAGGAGGATCAGCACGGAGAGCGTTCCTGGTGCTCAGGCCAGCGGGCGGGTGGCTTTGGCTTGGAATAAAGTGGTGTTACCTGTGGGAAAGGTACCGCTGCCTGCGCCCTGCCTGCGCCCTGCCTGCGCCCTGCCTGCGCCCTGCCTGCTCTGGGGCTGGGAAGGATGCAGCTCCAGCAGCCCAGCAGGGTTTGAAGTCGTTGGCCGGCGCCTGCTGTTGATATTCCCGGCGGAGGCATCGCCGGGGCAGCCGGGAATCAGAGAGTCTGGGTGCTGTTTGACTGCTGCCCGCTGTCACGGGCTGACAGGGAGCCACTTTGACAATCTCCTACTTTCTAATTCGGGCGGGTTTGGGGTTTTTGACTTGACTCGGTTTCGCTGTCTCATTTTAGACCATTTCCCTTTCACGTCTTCATCAGGTCTCGCTTCCTACCCAGCCCCTTCCCACCACCTGGCTCAGTCTGGCTCTCTCCCTGCCGGGGTCCCCTCGCTTTTCCTTCAGGCTTTTCCTTGCTCTCGTTATCGAGTTCCTTTGGATTTCTGGTTCCACTTAGCTCAGCGCTGAGCCCTGCTCGGGTTCCCCCTCTCTCTCCCACCGCCGCTGGCTGGGCCGGGGTGAGGTGATGCTGCCGGGCTCGAGTGTCCGGCCAACACCAACTGGAGAGAAACAACAAGTACTTTTATTTTCGATGAGCCAGGATCTTTCTAGATTTGATAAACTCTGTTCTTCCCACACTGCGTGGAGCACAACCTGCCTTTGTTAAATAATTCCCACAGAAAAAAATCCCCATATCCTCATGCAAATGCTCTGGTGGATGCCCATCTCCATCTCCTAGGGGTTTGGAGCAGGATGATGCTGTGAGGAGGGCTGTGAAGCTGCCCAGGGAGTGCCCAAGGGCTTCATGGATCGTGACTTTTGTACAGAAGAAGGGAACCTAATTTTAAGGATGCCTTTCCAAAAGGAGCATTTTACATCTTGGCTTTGTAAAGGTGGATTTCACAGCGTTCTGGCCAGGAGGATGCTGAGAAATGAGCTTCAACCCAGGGTGCAGAGCCAGTTTGAGAGTCAAAGCTCTGAGCTTGGTGGGGTTTGTAGCCAGACTTTGGGCTCTGCTGGTCCCCGACTGCCAGAGCCAGCAAGACCCTCCCACGGCCCAGCAGCTTTCCTCAGCCAGGCTGGGACCATCGAGCCGACACAGTGTGAGGGGCTTTCTCCAGGGCCAGATTGTGCGGGATGCCAGGATGCCACTGTGCTGCATCCCACCAGCTGGCCCGGTCCAAGCCCAGGAGCTGGTCCCCCAGGTCACAGGAGGGTCAGCTCCATCCCACCAGGCAGGGCCTCTTCCCACCTTCATTCCCATCCCGCTGGGAGCAGAGACAGGAGCCAGTGCCCAGGCTGGTCCCAGGGCAGCAGCCCCCCGGGATGGAGATCTGGAGGGCTCCTAAAAGGGGGCTGCTGCCCTGGGAGCACCAGGTTCTCAGGGGACATCCCGTGCCCATCAGGGCTGGCTGCGGTGGAGAGGAAAACGTCATCATGGCTCAGTCCTCTCTCCTCTCTGGAGAAGCAGCTCCTGAGCCCGCTGCACCCTGGGGGCACAGAGCTGTCCCCAGAGGGTCCGAGGGCAGCTGCTCCCCCTCCGTCCGCTCGGCACTGCCAGGCCGTGATGGATTTTGTCTGAGATCACGTCTGGCCCCGGTGGCAGCCACAGCTCTCTGCCCACTGCCCCTCTGCCCTCCTCCATGCCCACCACGCTGACGGCCACCAGTCTGGCATCCCCCAGGAAGGTCACCATCTCCCTGCCGCTCGTACCCAGGGCGCGGGGCTGCCCTGCCCCACAGGGAGGAGGGACCACAACATCCAACAGCACCTCCTGGCCCTTCCTCAAACGTTTTGCCCCATCTCTTCTCAACCTGCATCTCCTCCAGCTGCACCCAGGGCAAGGCTTGTGGCACATCCCCATGCCCGGGGTGGGCGTGGGGCAGGAAAGGCGGTGGGGGGGGGGGCTGCCTGGCACAGCAGTCCCCTCTCTGCGGGAAGGGGAGATGCTGCTGGAGGCTGCCAAGACCCACAAGGATGGAAAAGAGCCCCCAGCACCCACAGCCACACTCAGCCCCCACAGGGACCCTCTCCTCGGCTCAGCATCAGCCTTGGCAGCCCTCCTTGTGCCACCTGGTGCCACGGGGTGGATCCAGCTGACCCAGGGGACTGATCCAGCTGAAAACCACAGTGGGTTTCCTCTGCTGGCGGTGCTGCAGGGGGAGAGCAGGGACCCGACCTGGTGGCCTCGGCCACCCTGTGTGTCCCCACCTGGCCAGGCAGGGAGGGCTGAGGGGCTGATCCCCGCAGCTGGGGGAAGGTGGCACCGTCCCTCCCCTGCCAGGCTCTGCCAGACCCCAGAGGAGCACCCACAGGTGGTGCCAGCCAGTGTGGGGTGGGCAGGAGGTGGCTGCAGCCCCAGCCTCTGCCAGCACCGGGCTGGTGACCCTGCTTTTGTGGGTCTGTGTGGACAGAGCCCCTTTAGGTCCCAAACCCTCAGTGTGGTGGGTCCAGAGGTGACCACTGTCCCACTGTCCCAGCTAAGAGCACCAAGAGGTGGCAGGATGAGGGCACCTCACAGTGATGCTGTGACACCCTGGGGTGATGCTGGGGGCAGTGGCAGATGCTTGGGTGGGGGGACACGGGGATGGGAAGACAGGACTCGTGGCTGGGAGTGTTGGTAAAGCCCTGGGGCCATGGAGGGAGCAGAGGGCTGGGGGGATGCTGGGGGGGGTGGGGGGCAG